AAAAAAAAAAAAAAAAAAAAAAGACTTATTTGCAATAACTTGAAACGTCATCATCACCAGTAAATATATCAAAGCGGGGCATGAACTTACTAGTATATCATCCATGTTCTATTTTAGGTGCATGGGTCAGAGGATTTTTGCTGCCTAACATAGGAATTACCAAATTTCCTCTATTAAGCCCCCTGCGGGCAATTCTTTTGTAGTGCCTTTGGACTGGGTGCTTACTGGGGGGGCTTTTTGAAGACTGGGGATTAATAATTTTTCCTGATCTTTGGAGGAAATTCATAATTACCTTTATTCATAATCTCGACAGATGAATGAATTTCAAAGGCCTTCCAAGGACCACAACGTACCTTAGGTGTGGGCTAATTATGATAGCCTGGGGGCTTATTGAATTCTTGGGGGCCTCAGACTGGGGGCATATAAAGAAAATAAGCTAACTTATCTCCGCCCTCCCCCAAGAGGCACAAACTTTTTGACTCCCCCTCCCCCCAAATAGCGGTTGCCAAAATGTTCTCATCTTTGATTGATTCGCCCCTTTGATCCCCACTCCAGTTGTCTAAAAGAAACACGTCGGATTTCTCGCCCTAAATCTTCCGCCCATTTGTAGTTTTTTACTCCACGTATTCAACTGACCTTTGGATTTTCCACGTCTTCTTTTTGCTGGTGGATTGCCGACTTCAAATTCAAACTCAGTTTTCCTTCGATGAACCTACCATGAATAAAAACCATAAATTATTGAAAATCCAAAGAAAAACCGAAAGAAAACTGTACTTTACCTCGACTCTTTCGGTGAGTTCACCTACAGGCCTCGAATTCGAAGGCACAGACATCGACTGGGTAATCGAAGCAGTCTCACTTGAATAACAAAATCTTGCCTTTAGACTCGATATCAGAGAACCGATGGAATCTTTAAGGAAGCTCAGAATATCTAATAGTTTGTACCAAAGAGATCTTATACCACCAACTGCATTATTGAACTGTATYGCAGCCCAATTCCATACTGAACGTATAGTAGCCTCCATTCTTTCTCAAGAATACTTTTTTTGAGGTGCTATTGCATGTACGTCGAGCACGAAGATTTCGATCGCTTTGCACCCAAACTCTGACTGACTATAGACTGGGCTGATAGCATAATATCTTAAGGGAGGGAAAGCCCCTTGTTGAGAAATATCGGGAAAGCCCGGCCGCGACCTCAAGGAAGGAAGAAAAAATCCACAATTTTAGCAGTTTTCATTGGGCTCGAAGGGAAAACTACCGATTAGAGCCAATTCAGTCCTCTGATTGGTTAATTAATTAAGTACAGAGGGGTTCCCTTTCGTGATTGGTTGGTCATTGATTGATTTCTTAAAGTGCAGAAAATTGGGGAAWTTTTTTCTAGTACAATTTCCGAAAGCGAAAGTATGAACTTTGGCCAACGTCATTTTAATGGTACTTTGCCATATATGTACAATTAGGTCCTGAATGGCTTCGAATTTCTTTGACCTTGGTAATATTATCATAAATTATTCATGAAATTTCAAGGAAAAACATAACACTTTCTACAGTATTAGAAAAAAAAATGGCTTTAATGTTTTTAAAACTTCTTTATTCAATGCCAGTTGTAATCGTTGACTCTATTTTCAGAATCGAYTTTTAATAGATTCAAACGGGGGCATTTAGCTTCGCCCACTAGCCCGTTAGGGAAAACCCCTGTCCGTGTTTATTACGTAAGGGAAACCCCCTTCAATGATTCTAGGTACATATCCCAATTTATTTCAAAAACCAATGAAGAAGGCAATAACGACTAAAGCAAAATAATTTTTTCGTGGAGTGATATGTGAAATTGGCCTTTCTGGACTTTTCAGATAGAGTTCAACTGTAGATCTAAAAAACCTTGAATACATGATATATTCAGATTGTCATAAAACGGCAGTCTTACCAGATCTATGGAAGAAATACCTCTATCTCCGGTCGAAACCTGCAGAGATACAGGCAGAGATACAGACTTAGAATACGAGGTAATAAAATAGTAATAATCGATTTAGGATTTTTTTCGGCAAGGGACAGATAAGTTTTAGGAATATCGATAAAATAATGTCTTCAGACTACAAAATAGACCGAAGAATGGACTTTTAAAGAATATTTTTTTATAGACTTTAGGCGTTTAATCCATTCTAAAAGCTAAGCCATATTTGATTTAAGAACAAGCTAGGCTTGCACAAAGGCAAGAAGATTAATATGTCTATAATATCAACAGGAGAACTACTGTCCACACTACCAAAGATCGACATGTCTTCTTCACTTCTCTTGCTGCGAACACGACAATTTCTTTCCTTGTCACAAATGCCACAATGAACGAATTAGTAGTCCATCTGACGTGTCTTGTAAACTAATGGTCGAGAACGAAACTATGAATGGAGAGAAAAGAAAGGAGCTTCTGAGAACAGTAAACCATTCACAAGCGAAGAGTTTAGACGCTGATACAATAAAATGTACTTACTGTCAAGAACTCCAAACGGTAAGTATCTGACTCAGGCTTGGTTGAATTTTTTAGAACCAGAACTTATAAATTAGACTTACTGTGTGAAAAAGTGTTATGAACCAGCTCTATATAATATGATGCTCTGCTCCATCCCTTTAGGGACAGGTCACAAATTAAAGGGAGGGATAAGACAGGTGTTCAATGATTAATTTCTGTTCCGATAATCGTCCTCGCTCTTTTTACTTGGTAGTACCCCCCAGGACGTACTTCCCCTGAGGTATTTATGAGCTGGTATATTCTTTCCCTGTATTAATAAACGTTAAGTCAAATTTTGTCACAAAAGTCCCTTTCATAGTTCCCTGCACCATCACAAAAGGTAGCTGTGCCTTTGCATCGAAGTGAGACGAATGGTGAGCTTGCAATGATAGAGACCTTTTTTTTAACACCTTGGACAATATTATTCACAAGTCTCTATCATTGCAAGCTCGCTGTTTGTCTCGCTTCGATGCACAGGCACGGCTACCTTTCAAGATGGCACAGGGAACTGTGAAGGGGACTATTGACTCTTCATACTTATTTTCTCTGTTTTAGATAAGTTCACGTTGCACAAAATGCAGTAAAGATTTTGCTCCATACTTCTGTGAGAAGTGCAAAATATTTGTCAATAACATGGAAATGGACCCATATCACTGTGATGACTGTGGCATTTGCAGGTTTGTACTAGCTCTTACATGAACGACAAATAAACTTTATTTAAAGAGAGGGTGACAACATGACAGTTATGAGGTAAATTTGCTGCCCTCAAAATTGAAAATGGTGAATATGTCGGAAAATATGCAGCTGTAAAACCTATATTTTTGTTTTTTTCCCAGAGCAAACAAGTCAAATCACCAACATTGCCATAAATGCAATCTTTGTCTTGAAAAGCAGTTGTACAAAGATCACAAGTGTATGGAAGACAGTGGACATGATATGTGTGCTGTCTGTCTGGAGGTAAACAATAGACCTACTATAATTCATTGTGGTGCAATACTTCCCATTTCAGACCACATGTAATTCCCTAGAGTATCATTTCTTTGTTTAACAGTTGTGCATGAGAAGACACATGAATATGGCTATAATTCAAACAAAGAATTAGTACTCAAGAGAATGACACGTGGTCTGAAATGGGAAAACACTGCAGAGTGATTTTACTAGCTTCCAATTTGTGGAATTTTTACCAAAAAATTAAAATGCATGTGTCCTGCATGATAATGAAGCATCTAATACCTATCCAAATACATATTTTCTTTGCAAAAATGCTTAGTTTCAAAAATTCGAATTGTATGTTGAATGAGTACAAGGAAAAGATAAATTAACTAAGAGAAAAAATTGAAGGAACCAATTGTTTTATTTGTTTCTTTTAGACAGTCTTCTGTGGATGCTGCTTCCTTCCTTGTAGTCACAAGCTTCATCAGGAATGTGCACTGGGCCTAATTCAGCATGGCAGGTAAGAACCTAGGTTGTACTGTAGCTACAGTGGAATCATGTTATCTCCAACTACCTGGGCATCAGGGATAAGTATAGGAAATCGCACAATCTTGAGTACGATTCAGAATTGATAGGCATGAGTGATGTTTTGAAAGTTTTTTTAAAATTGGACAAGCCTTTCGGGATGTTCAATTTGAGAACATCACGAGCATCTATAGATTCGACATTGTATGAGAATATATTGCCATTTTTTGTTTATGATACACTAAACAAAATTGAGCAAAATAATTGGGACTCTACAGAGTACAATTAACAAATTAATTGTGCTCCTCTTGTCCAATCAGAATCGAGTAATTTTGTTGAGTGTTTCATAAGGTTTGAAATACTAACAGGTATATAGCAGATTCCTGATCCAGTAAAAACCTGCATAAAAGAACCAATATCTTCCCTAGTCGCTGGCTCTTACTGTATCCAAGATAAAATATGTACACAGGAAGTGACACAATTCATCTTCCACAGCGCCTAGWGCAGCYCTGGATAAGCGCTTTACAAATTGTAATTTTTTATTTTATTTTATTAAATGACCTCAAGTTTGATAAAGTCTTAAGTCCACAGCTAAAAGAGATCCCATTTCCCAAAGAAAATGTATTTCATTCCCCAAAGGAAATGTATTTCATTTCCCGAAGAAAATGTATTTCATTTTTATTTCATTTCAGCCTTGACTGTCCAATTTGCAGGAGAACATTTGCAGTTGAAATAAAAAGAGAAACGGGAACGTGTGAAGCCATTGTGAATTACTGCAAGTCAAAGGGCAAAAGACTTTTGAGTTTCTTCAATGTGTTGGAATAAAAAAGGTTGTAATAAAGCATGAATATAAACATCAATAGGTGATGTCAGTGTGAACATCGCTATGATTTGTTTAATCACTCTACTTTTGTTATTATTATAATTACATGTAAAGCTTATTACAAAATATTCAGTTGTTTTTTTCTCTCATGAACAATAAAAATCTAACTTTTTGGTGATGAACAAATATGGCAATAGTAACCTAACAAAATAAAATAACGAAACATTTAAAACATTTCCTTTGACCTTATGGTTTAAATATTATATTTTATGAATTTAAGTCCTATTTTTGAAAAATAGAAAAACAGAAACAGAAATAAAAACAGAAACTACATGACTGCAGTAATTTTAAAGTGCATCTCTAGCCATATCGTGCAGTGTTTTCTTATTTCTGTTAAAAAGTGAGAATTGGATGGGATGGATGAATGGGTATCATGGAGGCCAGTTGGATGGGATGGATGAATGGGAATCATCGGAGGCCAGTTGGATGGGATGGATGAATGGGTATCATGGAGGCCAGTTGGATGGGATGGATGAATGGGAATCATCGGAGGCCAGTTGGATGGGATGGTTGTATGAGGTATGAGAGGTATGATGAATTGGAATGAATGCATGAATGAGATGGGTGTATGGATAGGATGAATGGGATGGATGGGGGATTTGAAAGTAACTGAGAAACCTGTTCAAAATTTTTATAGATCGTTTTCATGTGATGTCACAGCGGCCATGTTGGTGTACCAAAACAATATGAACATTATGAACACTATTTTTATGCAAAAACTGTGCAAAAAGTTTCTATTGTTTGGTACACCAATACGGCTGCCTTCTCACATGAGCGAAAGCGCTCTATAAAAAATACCTCGTTAACGCAACTGACGCTTTAAATATAAAATTTTAACTTTTCTATGAACATTGAAGCAATACCAGTAACACAAATAGTGCAGAGCATTAAACGCAACTATGTTGGAGGGAAGAAAACAGCAGTATTCTCTACCATAGCACTCAGGTTGTCTGGGTCCATTGCGGCAAGCAGTGCACTACGTATACTAAGTTCATTAGGAGTCTCCTGAGCAAATGATCTATTACCAAGTATGCTACCATGACTACCATCAGGTGGTATGGTCTCTAGATCAAGTCCCCCTTCGTCATATTCCATTCCTGGTGCACCCTGGGAGCTGCAGTTGAAAGGCACAAAAGGTTGGTGTACGCTAGAGGTAAAGACGCAAGTCTCTGCAAGAGTTCTGGCTGATGATGTAGAGGTTCCATGACTAGGGTCCCTAAATTCGTGATTGAAGTCCACCTTATCCATAGAACAATGCTGCATTGCACTAGAAGAACCTCTTGCTATAAGGGAAGCTAAGGCCATTTCAGAATCAATGTCTTGTCTGGTGTTACAAAGAACCGGATCCACATTATTGGAAACAGAACCATGACATCCGACAAGGTAATTTTGTTGTTGTGCAGATGGAATAGAATGCGCAATATGAGAAGATTGAATCTTATCTGTGTYTTTAGACTGTACTTGTTCCTTTGGTTCATCAGTTTCTGTTTCGTTAGCTTTTTGTTGGGTTTTGGCTATCACAATATCAGTATTTTGTGACAATTGTYGCTGTGATATTCTATCGTCTTCTACACATACATCTGTCCTGTCAGAGTTCTTTATATTTTGTTCCTTTTCTTCATCAGCTGCCACTGTTGTAGTAGAACTTGTTTTATTTCTGAGGTCCTTAACCTGATAAAAGAAAAGTTTTCTCTTTTCACTTTTCATCCCCTGATGACCCCAAAGCTTGGGAAACAATGAATCACAGTCAACTCTCGCTTTGCGGGCACCCCTATATTATAGACACCTTGCTATTGCAGGTAGGAAGACATAATTATATCCCCAGCAATAAATATTGACAAAGAAATGACTGTAATTAACTCTCTTGACTCTCGCTAAATATTATGGATGCTTGCTATCAAGGACACCAAGTGACATTCTCGAGGGTGTTATAACCAAGGAACCACAATGGATAAGCCATAGATGAAACACATGAATGTACAACAACATATTCAAAAGAAAAGTTCTTAGCAAAAATATAATTTTTTAGAGAAAACAAATCCTGTGACCAATTTCATACTCATTTCCATAATTTCCATAATATGAAGCAACAACCTCAATGCTTGTTAGCTGTAACTATTACTGCAATTTTCATAAGCATGCCAACTCTGTGTCTGCGAGCTGCACGCTGGTGAAATTTGTTTTTTTGCTGCCGTCAATCAAACCGAATCAGTCGGTACCTTTCTTATTGTTGACTGGCAGCAGCAAAAAAACAAATTTGAGCATGCAAATCGGAGACACAGAATTGACATGTTTATGAAAATGGCACTGTAATACCTGAAAAGAAAGAAAATAAAATAAAATATTAACCTGTACCTTTTTACTCTTAAAGGTTTTTTTGGCCACCTTTTGTTTCTTAGAACTATTCTCTTTAGGCTTATTGGCTCGCTTTTCTAGTTTTTCCAGCTCACGACAAGGAAGATGTTTCCGTAGACAGATATGTTGATTGAATGTCTTGTTGCAAGTTTCACACTTGAAAGGTTTATCATCAGAATGTATGATAAGGTGATAGCGTAGATGGTCACGCCGTTTGAAGGCTTTTCCACACACCTGACAAAAAGGATGAGAATTAAGATAAATAAATTCTATAAATGGGAAATTCTTATACAGTACAATGTGAGTCCCACTGCACTTCATGATCTTTAATTTTCAGCGGAGGACTTTATGTCCTGCCACACAGCTCATCAAAGAGTTTTCATGACATTGTCAGAAGAAACACTAAAATGAGAATAAGTTTTCAAGGACAACTTCATGTCATATAGGTTTTAACTGAGGTCCACCAAAATCGTATCATGCTATTGAGAAGCACCGTAACATACAGTATTTCCTCTTTTAAGCCCCTTGAGGGCTTAATGGGTTTCAGTGCTTTTGGATTGTTGGTTTGTTAGAAGGGGGACTTATTAGATCGAGGCTGGAGGCTTCAATGTTTGGCGCCTCAGAATGAGGGGGGCTTACTACAGGCTAGGGGCATAATAAATTTTCCTGATCTTTGGAAATTCATAATTACTTTTATTCATAATTTCAATTGTCAAGTGTAATGACTTTCGATAATAGGCAAGCTGCCAAGGGAAAACACCATAATGTTCCATAGGGGTGAAGGCTTATTAGAGAATGGGGGCTTATTTAATTTTTGTTACCTTAGACTTATAGAAAGGGGCTTATTATAATCGCACCCAGTTAGCTCAGTTGGTAAGAGCATCGGTCTGTTGTGCGGGAGGTCGTGGTTCAAACCTCRGCCGCACCAACAATAAGGGTCTTAAAATAACTGAGGAGAAGGTGCTGCCTTTGTAATTACATCTGCAAATGGTTAGACCTTCAAGTCTTCTTGGACAAGGACTTAAAACCAGAGGCTCTGTCTCCCAACCCTTCCTAACCAACAGTAAATGGGGGACATAAAAGAACCTGTTGAATTATTTGTGTGAGGGTAGGAGATTGTCTCCTGGTCAACAGCCTATCCCAATTTGGAGGCAATGTACTAATAAATCACTCATGATTGTAAGCTGCACAGCTGCTAATAGCGCCTTAATATGCAGCCCGTAAAGTCCTCCACTGCAATGTAAAGCGCATTGAGACATTGTGAAATGCGCTAAAGAAGAACCCCATTATTATTATTATTATTATGAATATTATCATAGGCTGTCAGCTTAATAGAGGAAATGAAATATTAATTACACTTTTAGAGCAATCACACTGTACGTACCTCACAAGGAAAAGGCTTATCAGTAGAATGAGATATCAAGTGGACCTTGAGATTGTTTGACTTGGGGAAACCCTTGGGGCAATGAGGACATTTGTATGGCATGTTTCCGGTGTGCTTGTTCTCATGGACCTTGAGATCAAACCTACTGATAAAACCTGTATCACAGAACTGACACTTGAAAGGCCTTTCTCCAGTGTGCAGCATGATGTGCGTGCGAAGACTGCCTGTCATTTATAAGCAATTTAAATATCTTAATTTAAATGTAAGTACATGTACATGGTCCTTAGCAGATAAATGAAACACACTGTTTAGTATAAAAAAGCAAAAGTGGGAATTTTGGTATCGATTTTGAATCTGGGACCTGTGACTAATTCTACGTTGGGGTATTGTCAGTAGTTTGATGAAAGGATGGCACTGGCTAAACATCCCAGAGCCAACAGGGCTGAAAATGTACATATTGTACAGTGTTCACACATGCACAAAAATGTTTACATGTAACAATATTTTGCAAATAAAATAAATTCTTACCACTGTGAGCAAAGAATTTTTTACAGTATTTGCATTCATATTTCTTGATTCCAGAGTGCGTCTTCTTGTGTCGGTACACATAATTCTTGTCTTTAAATGTTCTGTCGCAAATGTCGCACTTGAATGGCYGATCCTCAGAATGGGTCATGTAGTGCTTCTTGAGGTTTCCAAGACTCTTGAAAATTTTGCCACATTCTCTACAGGTTCTTTCCTTCTCTGTTTTAAGTCTTTTCTCTAAAATTATAATTTCAAGCAAAACAAAAAATTAATTTCTGCCCCACTAGATAGTACTACACTCCAGTTTCAAATTATGTTGATCTTTGGTAGCCTTGGTTTTGTGTGCACTATTTGTTTCTTTTAGTGAAGGACTGCAGAAAGAGGTTTTGTACTAACTCATCTGTACTGACATGATCTTAAAACCGATGTGTAGGATCCTTCTCAGACATTTGCTGTTAAACACCTTAACTGCCTTATTGTCTTCTTTACTCATCTTCCATGTTTCACACCCATATAGCAAGATGGGTAACACTAGTGCCTTATGCAGCCTTAGCTTTGTTTTTCTCAAAATATTATTAGAGCTCCAAGTTCATGACACATGCCCCCCCTGCTTTGGAAAGTCACATGATGGCAGTAGTTGGTCATACAATTGTTTTACATGATTGTCTGAAAAATAATTCAATAGTCCTCTTCACAGTTCCCTGCAGCATCTTGAAAGGTACTACATGTACATGCATAGCCGTTTTTAAGACCTTTTTTAACACCTTGGACAATTATTATTCACATGTCTCGTTTTGCTTCAATGCAAAGGCATGGCTACCTTCAAGATGGTGCATGGAACTGTTGAGGGATCGAACTATTGCCAAGAGTAAAGAGGTTTTATTGTTCTTCCATCTAACATGGTATGAGGCAACAATTTACAAGGAATACAGTAGGGAATAATTAAGGCAATAGTGAAAACAATGGGAGAACATTACCTTCTTGAGCTTTCTCTCCCTTTTCAATTCTTTGTACAAGTTTCTTGATGTGCAGGAGCAAGCCCTTCCTAGAGAAGAACTCCTTGCCACAGTGTTCACAGTTCCGTTCGTCTTGGCTACTGCCGTTATCTTCACTGTTCTCTGGGTGACTCTCTTTAATATGGTTATCTAATTCTATCTGAAAATAATACTTCTCTTCGCAAAGCTATAAGATAAAAGGAGAACACTTGTGAAACCCCGGTCAAGTGATTAATCATAGCATTTTTCATGGTACTAAAAATAGATATTGCAGGCATCCCAACCACTTTTTAGACAAATTTGATAGGAAATATAGGCTGTGCAAGTTCTAAATATAGGAAAATATAGGAGTTTTTCCCAAAAATATATGCACTTTATAGGAGCTAAAATAGCTTTTCAGTGGCGTAACCAGGGATCTTGCAGGGAGGGTGCACAGGCAATGATT